GGGGGCGGGGCTACGTCTGGGGCGGGTGTTCGGCTGCGCGGACACACCAGGGCCCCGCCCCGCACGATCGGCCCCTCTGTGAGAAGGTTTCCCTGCCTGCGGGATGCTGGGGACGGATTTGAGGCCCGGACCGGTCGGGCACGCCCCCAGAACTGGGCCCCGCCCCTGCCCCGCCTGGCTTTGTGAGGATCCCGCGAAGAGGCGGAGCCCAGCTTGACGAAGCCCCGCCTCCACGCCGCCCTGCTCCCCGGCCATTGGGACTCGCTTTGTGAGGCGCCCAGCTCAGAGTGAGCGGGGTGTGTGGGCGTGGCCAGGGCTCGTCTGCACACCCGCACCCCACGCATCCCCCCAGGAGAGCGCCTCGCCTTATGCTCAGGCCGCTGTTTTGGATCTGAACCCCCTCATCTAACCAGCTGTTCCTCCCCTGTTGCCCATTGCTGGTGCCCCCTACTACTGCCCCTTCTTCGGCTCTGGCCCTTCACTGCCCCTTTCCCGTTACAACCCTCTCTCCCACCGAATCTTACAGGGACGGTGTCCCCCTTATCCCTTTTAGGGGACCCACCAGAGCGGCCGCTGTCCTTCCCTTCCCTGCGCGTTACCATGTCTTCCTCCTCCCCGACTCCCGCTTCCTCGCACCGCTCTCCAGCACTGCAGCTTCCCACAGTGCAGAAACCTCATTGCCACCTTCCTAACATTCGGGGTCTCCCTGTTTCACCCCACCCAGTCACCCAGCAGCTGGACCTCGCAATCCAGGCTTGAAGGAACCAACACCAGGCAAGCCACCGTGACAGCACAACATGTGTTAGAATAATTTCGGCTCGGGTGGGGAACACAGCACACCCCCGACCCTGAGGGAGGAGGGGACGGGAGGGGTAGGTAGACCCCTAATGCCCAGCGCGGGAGCGGGGGCAGAAGCGAGCTGGGAGGACTTCTCGGATACTTGCTTGCTTTCTTTTTTCTGGAAACAGGGTCTGTGTAGCCCAGGCTGGCCTTGAACTCACAGAGAGCCCCCTGCCTCAGCCTCCTAAGTGCTAGGATGGCAAGTGTGGACCGCCACACCCAGCTCTTTGGTGGTCTTGATTGTTTTTGTTTTTGTTCTCATTACTGGGGCTTGAACTCGGGACCTTGCGCTTGGCAGCAAAACCACTGAGCTAAATCCGTGGTCCCTCTTTGGTGGTCTTGAGAAGCTGAGGTTCACAGAGGGGCTTCTTGCTTTCTGTCTGACCTCCAGGCTGACGCCTTCACCCTCTCCCCCGTGTTTCTGGGAGGACGGTCCCCTGGTCCCCTTCATCCCCTGCGTTCTGTTCCCTGAGAAAGCAGCAGCTGGCCCCACCCCGTATAGGAAGGACCTCAGCCCCCCAAAGCCTCCAGGCAGCTTGGGAGAGACAGCTGATCAGAAGGCTCCCCAGTCCTCAGCCTCACTGGCAGGCCCGGAAGGTGCTGAACTCGGGGGGCTCTGGAGAGGAGGACGTGGAGGTCGGCCTCTTCCGGGGCCCAGCACTGCCGGGGCAGGCGTCCAGGTTCGCCACTGGGTCTTCCTCAGAAGGGGTCCTCTTCGCCTGTGGAAGAAAGAGAGCTGGGTGAACCATGAGGTAGGGACCAGGGTTTCCTCATATTCTGGGGCCGCCTCAGCCCATTAGTTCTCACATGACCCTCTCTTCCCCACACTCGAAACTTCAATACCCTGCTCCTGCCTTCCTCTCTGCTGAACAGGGGCCACAGAACCCGGGTTCAAATCCTGGTCCCATAACTTCCTGGCCATGTAAACTCAGTTGATTGCGTCATTGCCTCAGTTTCCATGAAAAATTCAGAGATGCTAGTACTCACTGCCTAGCGTTGTTTAGAGGCTTAAAGAAGTAAAATAGAATGAAGCCGGTGTGGTGGTGATGCACACCTGTCATCCCAGCACTCAGGAGGCTGAGGCAGGATAATGTCCACAAATTTGAGGCCAGCCTGGCTCCCAAGTCAGCTTGAGGCCAGCCTCACTACATTTCAAGACCCTATCTCAAAAAACACAACACAATAGCAGCAGTAGCAAGAGGAGGAAAAGGCGGGGGTAGTTGGGGGGGAAGAAAAAAGAGAGAGAGAAAGGAAGAACATATTCCACCCCACTTCTTAGGTTACAAAGTTGCCTCTCAGGGGCCTGGGCAATGTAACAGTCAAAGCCCTGTCATTTTAACCAATCACACAACTTTCTAAACAAGACGCTAAAACTGAAAGCAGAAACTGGCATTTGCACACCCACATTTACAGCTGCGTTCACTATTCACAAAAGCTGGAACACACACACACACACACACACACACACACACACACACACATGTCCATCAGTACAAGAATGGGGTAACAGGACTCAGGATTTAGCTCATTGGTGCCACCACCTGCCTTGCAAGCTCAAGATCCTGAGTTTGATTCCCGGTACCAAAATAAAAAGAATAGAATAATAGCATGTGGTCCATCCAAGATGGAATATTAAGCAGCCTTTCAAAGAGAGTTATGGTGTTTTGTTTCACTGTTGTTGTTGTTGCTTGGTACGAGGGATCGAACTCAAGACACTGTGCTTGCAGGGCAGGCACGGTGCCGCTGAGCTAAATCCCAGTTTTGTTTCGTTTTTTTGAGACACGGTTTTGCTATGTACTCCAGGCTGGGCTCCAACTCACAGCGATCCTCCTGCCTCAGCCTCCCAGTGTGCTGGGATCACAGGCGTGCACCACTATGCCGACTCAGTGAGTCCGAGTCTTTACCCCAACACTGTCTGAAAGTCCAGGCTCCACTCCCCATCTGCTCCGGACACTACCTAGTGACTGGATTCTTGGCCCTCCCTGCCGGCCCCTCCCTCTGGATTCCCCCTTTTGCTTTGGGCTCAGCTGAGCCCCCAAAATCCTCTGTTTCCCATCCACGGGATCCACCCTGACCTACTTCCTTCTGTTACTACAACTTCCGCTTTCAACAGGAGCGGGGACTAAAGCACCCGCCCTGGGTGCGCCTTGCGCAGCACGGCCCCCTCCAGTTGGTGCCCTGGCACCCGCTCAGTCCTCCACGGCCTGTCTGTCCCCCAGGAGCCGCCAGAGGGCATGCGTGAGCGCCCACAGCGCCCTTGGGCCAAGATCTACAAGGAGCCTGTCCTGTGCCACTTGCACCTCTAAGGCCACCGCTGCGGCCGCCTGCACAGAGAAGCTGGCTAACGCATTGCCTTAGTCCATGAAGTTCGTGGGTCAGACAACTCTAATTTTGTTTAAATATATATATATATATAGTTATGCCGGGGGTTTAGCTCAGTGGTTCCGCCGCCTGCCTCGCAAGCGCAAGGTCCCGAGTTCGATCCCCGGTACCAAAAAAAAAAAAAAAAGGAAAGGACAATTACTGATGCCTTCGCACCATACATCCGTGCAGGAGCGTCGGTCCGACCCAGATTTCTATCCCACACCAACACTGTGACCGGGGAAGGGGGCACCTCTCTAATGAGAGCTTGGAACTGGGCGTGTACGCCCGAGATCCCAGCACTCGGGAGGCTGAAGCAGGAAGATTTCCATGAGTTCAAGACAGAAAGAGAGAGAGAGAGAGAGAAAGAGAGAAAGAGAGAGAGAGAGAGATCACTGTTCCTAGGTGGAAACTCGTGGGTCATTAAGCGCAGTCCTTGAAACCGAACACGAAAGAAGCCAGGAGGGCCACCGTGCGTCGGAGTGTCAAAGGCTCCCGTGAAGGACGCCCAAGAGGCACCAGGTCACCATGAATCCTCCGTCACCATTCTGAGGGCTGGGCAGGCTGAGTTCCACCCTGTCCCTTCACTCCCCTGGACATCTAGAGCCCACCCGGAGTCTGGGCCAGGCCAAGACCCTTTCTGTGCCTCTGGGCTTTTTCCTGAAGGATCCAGCGGGGTGCGACCCCCTGCCCATGTCAGGACCATCAGCAGGACGAGATGGAAAAAGCAGCCACTCACCGCCGAGACTGCAAACAGGGAGTTGTCGAAGGACAGGTCTGAAACAGAGGGAGGAAGGTCAGGGTCTGGACTGCGGCTGCGCTTCCGCCTGAGGGGGTGGGGCGCATCTCCCGGCGTGCTCTCTGCTCCCTCCCGCCCGTGTGTAGGCCTGGTCTGAGGCTGAGCGGGCGGTGACCCCATTCTCCCCGTGTCCCCGGGAAAAACGGGTGCCTTGAAGGAGCCCACATGGATTCCCCAACTTGCCTGATCGCCCCCTCTTCACCCAGCCATGCCCACCTCTTCTTTTCATTTTTCCAGTCTCAAACTAGGTTAGGCCAAGAGATCTTCCTGCCTCATCCTCCTAAGTGCTAGGATTACAGGTTGCGCCGCAACACCTGGTACTGCCCAGCTCCTCTCCCAAGCGTCTTCCTTTAACACTACCACCCCGCCGCCTGCTGTTCACCCCATCTCCACTTGCGGACAGAGGCCACAGCAGTCTTGGTCATCACAGGACCCTCCCAGATCTCAGCACACAGTAGGTGCTGAGGGCTGGGGATTTAGCTCAGTGGTTCCAGCACCTGCTTTGCAAGCACAAGGTCCCGAGTTCGATCCCCCGGTACAAAAAAAAAAAAAAAAAAAAAAAGGAATAAGCAAACAGTAGGCGTTCAATAAATGTGTCAGATCCAGGTGTGGTGGCGCACACCTGTCAATTCAGCACTCCAGAAGGCTGAGGCATGAGGATCGCAAATTCAAGCACAATGTGGCCAATTTAGCAGCTTAGCGAGACCCTGTCTCAAAATAAAAATTTTAAAACGTCTGGGGATGTAGCTTGGTACGAAGGCTCTAGGCTCAACCCGCAGGATCACCAAAGATGAATGAAGGAAGAAACGAACGAGTGAATGAGAGAAATCAGCTTCTGTACTGTGGAGCTTTTCAGATCACACGGCACAGCCTGTTTGTCGCGCTCCCCCTAGTGGAGGTCAGCAGAACTACACGTTCTGGAAGGCAGATGCGGAGCCAAACACACCTGACCCAGCCCGTGCTGGAATTAGCCACTCAGCGGTGGAGGCCGGTGAGTATTAAATACACAAGCACCCTACCTCGAAAGTGCAAGGATCCGAGTTCGATCCCCGGTACCAAAAAAAAAAAATAATAATACAAGCACCTTCTAGCCAGGCGTGGTGGAGCACACCTTTAATCCCAAGAGGCTGAGGCAGGAGAGTCTCCATGTGTTGGAGAGACTGGCAAGACTCTGGGACACTGAGAAAACTGGAACCCAGGGAAGCAGGAAGGAGAAGTTTTTGTGCATTTTAGTTTTTTTGGTTAGGTTTTGTGTGTGTGTGTGTGTGTGTTTTGTTTTGTTTGGACAGGGTCTCACTGTGTAGTTCAGGCTGGCCTTATAATTGCAGGAAGCAATCCTCCTGCCTCAGCCTCTAAATGGTGGAATTACAGGTGTGCACCACCAGGCCTGGCTGGGGGAAGAGGGTGTTTTTGGACGCTCTGTGTAACAATCGCCCAGAACAGGTCCAAATAGTGAATGATAAAGCTCAAAACTTCTTAATCTCTCTCTCTGTCTCTCTGTCTCTCTGTCTCTCTGTCTCTCTCCCCCTTTTTTTCCTACTGGGATTGAACCTAGGTAGGGCCTTTTGAGACAGGATCCTGCCAACTCTCTGAGTAGTTGCCCAGGCGGGGCCTGAACTTGTGATCCTCCCGCCTCAGCCCCCACCACCGCCCAGTGCTGGGATCACAGAAACGCATCACCACGCCTGACTTCCTTGGCATTTTCCCGCCCTGCCCTCCCGGGGGTGGGGGTCAGAAGCCAGGAGGCACAAACCTGTGTTGGCGTAGTTAACCTGCGCCCAGCATGACTCCCGCTCTCTGCAGAGAGAGGGCAGAAGCAAGGTTGCCCATTAGACAAAACCGGGGGTGGACTCCAAGTCAGCCCCACGCTGGGCACCGTCATTATATCCTCCCCAAAACGTGTCTGACTGGCAGAGCAACCGCACTGTGCCACAGCCCCTCGGCTGTCAGGAGCCAGGGTCACCCCCGGTGCAGTCCGGGGAAACGCGCAGAAACCCTCCCGGACATCCCGAGCGACCGGACGACATCCGGGCAGCTCGCCCAAGGGGAAGGGGGAGGGCGAGGCGCGGCCACCCTCCCTGCGCACGGTGGCCGTTTGCTAAGGGGCACTCGCTCCGGATCGCCAGGCGTCCACCAGGGGGCGCTCACCTGTCAGGAAGCGCCCTCTGTCCCCAAGCCACCCTCGGAGTGTCCCGGGGAGGGGCTCACCGTTTCTTCTGTAAATTTTTTACTTTAACTGGAACAGGAAACAAAGAAGCATCTGTTAGATTTTGGTTCTGCGTGGACAGAACAAACTTCTACACGTACGAAATGAAAAGCCCTCTTTCTACATCTGCCCCTCAGCACGAGAGCCATTGTGATTACCTCTCTCTCCCCTTTCAAGTCTCACTGGGTCCCACCTGGCTGCCCTCAAAATCGAAGTCCTCTTGCCTCAGACTCCTCCGTAGCTGGGATCACAGACATGCATTACTGCTCTTGGCCCTAATTTTTTTCATTTACTTATTTGATTGAGTCATTGATATAGGGTCTCACTACGTAGTCCAGGCTGGCCCTGACCTCACAGAAATCCTCCTGCCTCAGCCTCTAGAGAGCTAAGATTACAGGCATGGATATCACAGCCAGCTTCATCTTTTTCTGTTTAGGTTGATAAAAACTCATAAAAACTCATAAAAAAATAAGCATAGAGGGCCAGAGATTTAGCTCAGTGGCACCACCACCTGCCACACAAGCTCAAGGTCCTGAGTTCAATCCCCGGTACGGGGGCTGGGGGGCACAAAAACTGTTTTTCTTTTTAAAATGTGCATTTCAAACCGGGCGTGGTGGCGCACGCCTGTAATCCCAGCACTTGGGAGGCTGAGGCAGGAGGATCGCTGTGAGTTCGAGACCAGCCTGGGCTACATAGTGAGCTCCAGGTCAGTCTCAACTACATAGTGAGACCCTGTCTCAAAAAACCAAAAAACCAAAATAAAACAAAATATGCATTTCATTGGGGTGGAGGGAACAAGGAGCTATTGCTTATTGTGGACCGAGTTTTAACGGAGAATGATGAAAAAAATTCTAGGTGGATGGTGCAATGATTTCATAACAAGAATGTACTTCATGCCACTGAACGTGTGCTGTGTATATTTTATCAAATGCATCCAGCTGCCCTGTGTCTATCTATGAGGGATTCCGTAAGGATTCTTCCCAGAGATGAAATCCAGGCAGGCTCAGATTCTTTACATCAAAAATGCTGAAGGCTGGGAATTTAGCTCAGCGACACCATGCACAAGGTCCTGAGTATGAGCCCGGGTACCAAAAACAAAAACAAACAAACAAAAAAATTCTGAGGGAGGAGGACCACAGTTTGAACCCAGCCTGGACAATTAGGTTAAGACCCTGTCTCATAGTAAAAATAGAAAATGGCTGAGGATATAGCTCAGTGCAAAGGTCCTGGGTTCAATTCCCACTACTACCAAAAAAAAAAAAAAAAAGCTGCTGTATTGCGAATAATAATGAGGAAAGAAACTTTGTACATGTTTAGTATGGACACACAAAAAATATTTTTTGAGGCAAGATCCCGCTATGTAGCCCAGGCTGGCCTTGAACTCAAGGGTATCCTCCTGCCTCAGCTTCTCAAGTCCTGGGATGACAGGTGGGCACCACCATGCCCAGCTGTGGATTTGGGCATCTGCAAGGTGTTCTGGAACCAAGGTCCACGGATATACTAAGGAGTGGGTGTATATTAGGTGCCCAGCACCACCACCTTGCTCTGGACCAGTTTCCTCCCCCTAAGTCCTGGAGTAAAACCACCCAGGCCCCCGGCTCTGTGCGCCGGAAGACTGTGTAGGAGCTCCCCATGTTCCCTGTGTGCCATTACCTTTCCTGGCCACCACAGCAAAGACCACCAGCACAGCGAGGAGGAGGAAGACTCCGGCCAGGCTAAGGGAGAGCGCCAGGATCCAAGTGGGAGCTAGGGGAACCCCGAAAAGGAAATGTCACCTGGAGGAGCCAGCGCTCTCCACAGGCCCCCAACCCTGGGCTCTGATGAAACTAACCGTAGGCACCTAGCAACCTTGCATTGGGCTCATTAGCATATTCCCTCCCCTCACCAATGTGATTAGTTCGGGCCCAGGCACATAACCCAAGCAGAGCCAATGGAAAGTGATTCTGGAACTTTGGCTGGACCAATGGGAAAAGAGGTTTAGTCCCCGGTGTGTAGTATCACAGTGCTGGTAGCACGTGTACCCAGAGCTGATGATGCGCATAATTCTCTGCGCCAGACTCAGTTTCTTCTCCCAGGATGCAGAGGGGGAGCATCTGGGGGACCAGGGAGCAGGCCTCGGACCTCAGTTGAGTGGGGAAGGAGGGGAAGGAAAGTGCCTGGTGTTTTGACAAAGCCTGGCCTTGTTCGTTCATTCAGTGTGGCAGGGCTGGGTCGCCTCCCTGCCCAGAGACCGCAAGGCCAAGGTGGAGAAGGGAGCCTTTGACAGGAGCTGGAGGCTGTGAGGGACGAAGAGGTGTAGTGTCACCTCGGCCGGCGGGCTGTGCTTGGCCACAAGGTACACTTGGCTATGGGGGACATAGAAGCCGCTTTTGAGAAACAAGGTCTCATTGTGTAGCCGAGGCTGGCCTTATATTCATGTTCCTGATCTCCTGGCCTCAAGCAATTCTCCTGCCTCAGCCTCCCAAGAAGCTGCGACTAGAGGTGTGTACCACTGTGCCCAACTTTGTTCAGATTTTTGCTTCAATATCACCTCCTCAGAGAGGATCATCCCTGATGATGGTGGTGGTGCACCCCTGCAATCGCAGCACTCTGGGAGGCTGAGGCAGGAGGATCGCTTTGAGTTGGAGACCAGCCTTGGCTGCATAGTGAGTTCCAGGGCAGTCTGAGCTGCACAGTGAGACCCTGTCTCCAACAAATAAACAAACAAAACACACTTCACCATACTGAGTTTTGTCCTTTTGGTCTCTCTCATCTGATAGGCTGAATATTTGCTGGACACCCTGTTTACCGTCTGTTCCCCCCCGCGGGATTGCGGCGGCCGGCGGGAAGGGATATCGTCTGTCTCTCACTCACGTCCGGACCCTCAGTGCCCAGGTTAGCGCCCGGCACATACAGTAGCTGCCCCCAAATTGCTTGCAATGGAGAGGAGGCAGGGCCCTGAGGACTCACCTGGGATGGAGACCTGCACCGGCTGGCTGAGGTCCGACAGCTGCTGCTGGCTGTGCTCGCCCACCACGCCGTACTGGCAGCGGAACTGCCCGCTGGGGGCCTCGCCGCCCACACTGCCGCTCACATTGAATGTGACCCCCGCTCGGTCCGCAGGGGCCTGCAGCAGCTGCACCACGTGACCCCCTCGGTACAGCGTGAAGTTTGCCCCCAGGAAAGCCATTGGTGCCGTGCATGTGATGTGGATGGGGTCCTCCTGGCTGCTTGGGTAGGGGGGCACCAGGAATATGGATGGCGCTGGGACGGCCAAGGAGCCTGCGGTGCAGAGCAGCGGGGGCTGAGCCGAGCACCGTGGGACATGGCTGGAATTCCAGCACTCTGGGAGGCTGAGGCAGGAGGATCGCAAGTTCCAGCCAGCCTGGGTAACTCAGTGAAAACAAAAAAAAAAAAAAGAAAGAAAGAAAAGAAAAGAAATGGCTGGCTCAAGGCCCTGGGTTAATCCTCAATACTAGGAGGGGAAAAAAAGAATAAAGCAGTAGTAAGGTATTGCAGTCAGAGCACAGGAGAGAGGTATGTGAGCAAGGAGAGAGCCCCCTCTCTGGGCCTTGTTTAGGAGAAAGAACGGTGCTAGAGATCAAATGTAGGTCTTAGCCGGGTATGGATGGGGCTTAGTTATCACACTAGCATTCTCAGAAGCTGAGGCAGGAGGATCACAAGGTCCACCAAACCCAGTCACAGCCCAGTCTACCAAGCCCCGCCTTAACATAAAAAAGGGTTGGGGTTGGGGATGCAGCTCAGTGTGCTCTGGGTTCAATGTCTAGTACCACGAAAAAAAGAAAAGAGAGAGAGAGAAAAAAAAAGACACAAAGGAGGAGGAGGAGGAGGAGGAGGAG